ATATGGTGCTCTGCTAATACTTTGATTTGTTTAGCTCAGGTTTCGTTCCTGACAGCAGGCTGTTTTTTTTTTTTTTTTTTTTTTTGGCAAAATTTTTTCCCCCCCCCCCCCCCCCATGTGGCAGCAGTGGGGTGTCTGTGGGATGGATCGGCCTGTCTGAAGCAGAGGTTAGACCAGCACTTTTAATCCACCAAATGTAGCCCAACGACCTGACTGTGTGGCCACTACAGTGAAGGAGCGCCAGGTGGACGAGAGAATGAGAGTGGAAAGAACCACAGAGTGTGACAGGAAGGAGGAGCAGATGAAAAGGTAGAGATGCAGAAAATGCAGAGTAAAAAAAAAAACAAAAGACCCCGCACAATGAACAGGATAAAGAGAGACGGTGGAAAAAGAACTGCACTCAGCCGTCGTAATTGAGCTGCCTCGCTCTCTATTCCACTTTGAAGAAATATTAAGATGATGAGAAAGTAAGACTCCATTGTGGTTGCATAGAAAATGAATCGTGTCAATACTAATTCCATTGATGGTGTCTGGTTGAATCGATRCTGTAGGGCCTCGCTGCGCATTTGGCAGGCAGGATTCTCTCTTCAGAGTGATTGGCTAATGGGAAGAGTCAGTCAACTGGCATGATGTGATTTTAGAGAAAATGTTGTCACCTTGAGTCCAATTTGTCTCCATTAAATCAGCCAAGAGAGCGGTAGAATTATCTCATAAAAAGCCAACCTGTGCTGTGGTGAAATGAGATATTTTCACAGCTCTGTCATCCTCATTAAGGATGCTGTTGTGATACAAAACTTCAGCTTCCTAAAAACCAGAAAATCCAAGGTGTTGCTTTTTCCAACATGTTTATATCTGTTGTTTTTTGTTTCTTTTCCATCCAACGTGTCAAATTAAAGAAGCAATTAATTCCTGTGCTGCCTGTTAGTTTTAACACATTTAACTATCAGACAACAGTATTGGTTTGCAGATAAATTGGCAACTTGTTTTCGCCTTTCTCAACAAATCTCAAACAAATGCCGGGGGGGGGATCTGTCAATCCCGATAATCCAATAAACGCAGCACCTCTGCAGTCTTTTATTTCTTCAGAATCATCTGTTCTTTCCTGGAATCTATTTGAGCCTCCTTTCATGTCAATTGAGCACCTCGTTCATGCATTATTAAGTAAATTGATGGTCTTCTATAGGACGTGTGTCTCGGTATGAGCGGATTGCGTCTGTGTGTCAGTGTGTAGTACGCGGTGCTGAGGTGAAAAGGAAATGGTTATAACTTCATGTTGCATTACCTTGACGACTGTTAGCTTAAATGTCATGCAGCAGGAAGAATATAGTTTAGACCTTTTTACAAGCTCGCTCCTATAGCCAAGCATAAACTGGGTGCTTGACCTTGTGTTTTCTGCTTCTTGCCTCCTTCAGGACGTCCTGTTGATGGGGGAGGAGCTGGCGTCMGAGCCTTATTACTGCCAGCTCGAGGCCGAGACGTGCCGGCTATTCTCGGAGCAGCTGGGAACGTTCGCTCTGGTGGGGGAGTCCCTGCACATGGGGGCAGCCAAGCGCCTCAGACTGGTGCTCTTCTCAGACGCGTATTGCTCCACACTGGAATACAATATCAGGGTGTACTGCATGGATGACATACAGGACGTCTTCAAGGTAAAGTGTTGTAGAGTAGTTTATTGCTTGCAGTGTGCAGTAATGGAGTGTGCTGTCTTGTCTCTGGAAAATCTCCAAATCATGTTCTCCAGGTTGTTATTAGACCAAGGCATTTACACAAAGAAACTCAATTAAACATAATCACAATTATCTTTTATAGGTAAGATTATAGCTTCTTAATTTGTGTTTTCCCCACCTCAAAACATCACCATTTCACAGGAAATGCCTCAGTTTAAAATAGACAGCATTTGTGCCCAAAGTGATAATTGTGAGGAGACAAACGAGGAGGACTGTGGCACAGTATCTCATGTGAAACCAAAGAGAATAAAGGAACAAACAGAAACGATGTAACTTCGTGCAGAGAGGCTGTACAGATGTATCAGTATAACCAGAGAGAAGAGTACAGCAAGTGACCACTGAACTCTGCACTACCCTTTAGAGAATGCCAGCAACCATTTCAACAACACACACTAAAGCCGGGTTCCCACCAAACCCGTTTTGAGCAGCAAAAATACTCCCAACGCCTCCAGGTGGAAGCACTATGTTCAAACCAGGACAGACTAGAGGCGTGTCTGAAGAGGGAGGAGCATCTTGGTTTTTTCTGGTCTGTCTTAATGACAGGTGAAATAAAGAAAATTGCTTTGCTTTATTTACTAAAGAGCAAGCGAACATTGTACACAGCAGATAATTAATTCACCAGATAATTTGTTCGGTTAGTTTTGCCACTCCAGGAGCTGCAAGCTGATGGACTTTTTTTTTTGTCCCGAGCTCAGCGAGCTGCTGACCCACATCAGTGCTGATATCTCCAGCCAGAACACCAACTGCAGACGGTTGATTTCAGCTAAAGAGCTGCTGTCCATCTGTTTTGGATTCAGGAAACCATCACGTGGAAAAATGATTCTCTCTGATTGGTTGCTGCTGCTCATCAAGCAACCAAAGTTCAATTTGTTCAACTCCAGCAGCCGCTGCCTTGGACGTGCCGCATGCACGGAAAATGCTCTGCTGCATCCTGCGGATGCTCTAAACTGCCAAAACACGCCACAACACGATGCGCTGCTCCTAGATGCGCATCCACCATAGACTTTGCATGTAAACTGGCTACTTTGGTTGCTCAAAACGTGTTTGGTGGGAACCCGGCTTGAGTGTGTAGTAGGGTTGGGCATAATCGTATCATGTGCAATTAATCATTAATCTATTACTTTTTGGCACTTGACGATTAATACGATTAATGCCACCAGGCAGACTGACTGGGGATTACTCCGGTCAGTCCGCAAAAAATAAAGTTCTGTAATTTATTTATCTATCAGCACAATTTAAAATATGATGAATAGCCTGAAATCTGTAATTTTCACACAATTTGGAACAATTTTTTTACAAAGAGCAAATCTTGCCAACTAAATTGGTCATTTGTCTATGAAATAAGGGTGTCCATGGACTCCAGGGGATTAATCGTCAAATTAATCGTTATCGGCTAAACACCACAATTAATCGTGATTATTTTTTTTGCCAGTATTGCCCAACCCTAGTATGTAGACATGATGTTTGACAACGTATGAAATGAATACGTTATATGAGCATAAATTAGCCTTTAGGCCCCTCCCACTTTTTTCTGGGTACATTTTTAAAACTGTTTTTTTTCCACAGGCCACACATCCTTACAAAAATGCTGTAAGACCCATAGAGCTGAACGATATATCCTTTGAGCATCGTCTTGCAATGTACATGCGCACAAAAATCACATTGCAAGTCCTGGAATGTAGGAGGCAAATTAAATCAACCTGTTATCTGGGGACTAAAAGGGCCCAATCATAGTGCACGTTTGGCCCATTTACTGGACTTTAGCACAAGATATAGACTATTTTTAGTCTAACCAAGCGTATTAGGGAACTTATCAAGTACATAGAAATAATAATAGCAGGCAGACCTGGTCCAACACTGTCGCCCTCTTTATGAACTTAACTTCTGCCTCTTTCTCCACACAAAACTTCGGGTACACTTCAAAATAAAAGCATTAGCATAAATCATCTGTAATTCAGTCTTCCTGTTGTGTCCTGAAACCTGTTTGCTCACAAAGTACTGGACCAGAAACTCTCAGTAAACAATACCTAAATACAAAATGCAGTTTTTATTCCCAAGCTTCATACACCTTTTGTGCTTCTTGTGACGTAAGTCTTTAAAGTGCCTGTGAAGTCAAATTTTTGTAATACATATAAATGCATTTTTAGAAAGAGGACATTGATAAAATACAGCAAAAGAAATTTCATGTTGCTGAGATGAACAGTTGTTGAGATATTTGCTTATGAAGTAACAGGAAGTGATGTCAAAGGGGAATATCTGCATGTGAACAGAACATTGCTACAAAAGCCAACAACCCAGATTATAGAGAAGAATCTGATGTTTAAGATTATTTTGAGTCTCTATCAGAGAGATGAAGAAGAGTCAGTTCAAATATTGTTTCAATAAAGAAAGACCAGAGAGTTTTCTTTGTTAAAGAGCTCCCCTTTGATGTCACTTCCTGTTTCACTTTAGCTGAGCCAAGTTCAAAAGAAAATAGGCCAGTTATGGGACAAAATGGATTAAATCGTGTGTATTATTCTAACTTTCTTAAATATAAAGATGTTTTCTTTGACTTTTTGTATTTGAAGAATATGCATGTCACAGGCACTTTAATGCCTAATATTACAGACCTGCAGTAACTCACATGCTGTTGCCGGTACATATTAGCTGCTCAGCTATGATGAGTTCGCAGTTTGTGTGGGGAAAAAGATCGGATTTTTAAGCGTTAGATCCGTTTGTCACTGGTCAAGCTGAAAATTGGCTTATTCTGATCTCCAGCCATTCGAAAGGTGCTTCAATACTWAATGTGTATTTGATGGGTGTGTGTGATTTGTGGAGACGATCGATCATCTCCTAATGAAATTATGCACAGATGTGTGTTTTGTGTGGATGTCTTCATGTTTCATGTCTTTCATGTCAGCAGTTCTGCTCGGTTGCCGTGGGCCATAGGTTTCCCATCATACTCAAAAGCATATTTCACTCTTCTTTTTTTCCCCCTCCTCCGCATGGACAGAGTATAATCAAGCACTAATGCCTGGCTCTCTCCCCTGAGGACTGCCTCTGAGTAGCCTGTTAAGATTTCATTTGCATGGTTAATTAGTAAATTAAAAGGAGAGTCTGTCCCAATCTTTTCCCACCAACCCCGCAGTGCTCCCTTCAGTTCTCTGCACTCCTCTGTGTCCCTGCCGAACCGCTCCTCCTCCACCGTCACCACCCACAGTCACAAGTGCCACTTCCACTAGAAGCCACTTCTGCTGGCTGTAATGGCTGACCTCCTCGTGCAAAGGTAGCAGCACGATCTATGGGTGGCTGTGGGACATAAACAGTGGAAGTCACGGAGAGTTCACACTGAAATTAGCTCGCACATTATCCAGCAGATGATGATGAGTTGAAAACTGCACAGGCTCTGGCTGTGGGGTGGGAGTTACAACCTCCTCCTCACAAGACTGTGTGCGCGAAAGTCTTGGGTAATCTGTTGTTTTTATATTTTTCTTCTTTTAGTGAAGTGGTCTGAATCAATAGTTTTATTTTATTTTATTTCTGGGCTGCTTTTCCCARGCATTTGCAGCCCAGAACTTGGTATTCTTAAAGGATTGTTTTTGTTTCGTTAAACCACTTAAGTCTGACGTTTGAATCACTCAAACATAAAAAGGCTCCTAAATTCAAGAGCTTATCCAGGGTTTGTCAACACAAAATGGACAATTTAGCAAAGATCCTAACAGAAATCGGATCAACCTTAAATCAGATCTTTAGCTGATTACTAGCTAAAGCTCTAATTGAAAATAACCGGCTAACCAGTTTCTAAATCTAAAGATTAAAAGGCTACCTAAGAACATTATCACATCCTGTCACCAAGACAAAAAAATTTTTTTTGTTGAATCTATAAAAAATACAAAATATAAAACAGTTTGACAAACATGCACCAATGATGTGATTCCCAAAGAGCTAAAAGCTTGACTTATAGCAGTATAATAAAATTTAAGCTTGCAAATTTGCCAGCATTAGTTTCAATTAACTTCTTCAGAATTCTCATTAACATCATATAATATTCTTAAAAAAATAAAAATATTCAGATACATGTATTGTGAGATACAGATAAATTACACAATATTACTTTCATTTGTTTTACGCATTTTAGGTATTTGACTAAAGTTTATGAGAAACAAACATACCACCTGTTTTCATGCTTTATCATTAAAGAGACATCTCAGTGGGTAACGCTGAACTGATCCTGGTTTATTTCACTAATAAATGAAATAGTTTGAAACCATTTAATATTGGTACACAGAGTAAACAATAAACCACATCGTTATACAGTACAGTGAAGCTTTTCTCAAAAACAATCCACAGTAATAATGCAATTTAATTTTATTTTAAATGTCAAACTTTGAGTGAGATGTCCTTTAATTTGTTGATGAATACCAAACAGAAGTACCTCAGCTATATTTTTTTACATTTCATTTCAAGTCCACAATATATCTGTAGCCAACAGCTAGCTACCCATCATTCCTGACTGTGGGTGAGTCTCAACACTGTGGAGGGGTGGAGGTGACGTATGTCCTCATATTCTGCACATTTCACCAACCTGCAAGCTCTGTATCATTTTACAGCTCTCTCACTGGTTCAGCTGAAGCAGGAAGATGCAGTAAGGTTCTCTGTCAGGTCTTTACTGGATTTAATCCTTGCTTTTTAAAGGCATGACGTTCAGATGCTGTTTGTCTGCTGTGGATGGTGTTTTTTAATCCTGACACTTCCTCTTTTGTCCTCCTCTTGTCCGGTTTACTCCTGTTTTAAGCACATGTTGCACAATATGCAGGTACAAGAGCTGGTTAGCAAATAAGTGGAAAAGCAGCCAAAGTTTTATAAAGAAAAAATATTTGGAAAAAAAAAGCTTGAACTATGGATCAAACTCTGGCACCATGCTGGACAACTTTTTTGGTGTG